GTGGACCCTCCTTTGTACACCTGTGATCCAGACATCTGGAAGCCAAACCCAAAAACTTAAACCCTAAACCGTAAACCTTAACCTTAAACCCTAAACCCTGAAACCTAAACCCTAAACCCTTAAACTCAAAACCCAAAACCCTCAAACCCTACTTAACCCTGAACCCTAAACCCTAAACCCCTAAACCCTAAACCCTGAACCCTAAACCTTTAAACCCTTAAACTTTAAACCCTAAACCCTAAACCTTGAACCTTAAACCCTTAAAACAAGAACCCCAAAAGCTGCCCAAGGAAGTGGCATCTCATCCTCCTCCGGCAGCAAAGGTCCGTGGATCGGCTCATCCTGTGTCAGGCCCGCGAACATCGAAATGACCCAAAGTAGCTCAAATTAGGGTTTAGGGTTTAGGATTTAGGGTTTAGAGTTTAGGATTTAGGGTTTAGGTTTTAGGGTTTAGGATTTAGGGTGTTGGGGGCCCGCGAACATCGAAGTGACCCGAAGTAGCTCAGATTTACAGATTTTAGCCCAGGTCAGATTTACAGATTTTAGGGCCCAGGTCAGATTTACAGATTTTAGGGCCCAGGTCCGATTTGCAGATTTTAGGGCCCAGGTCAGATTTGCAGATTTCAGGGCCCAGGTCCGATTTGCAGATTTTAGGGCCCGGCTCAGATTTACAGATTTCAGGGCCCAGGTCAGATTTGCAGATTTCAGGGCCCAGCTCAGATTTACAGATTTCAGGGCCCAGGTCAGAGTTGCAGATTTTAGGGCCCAGCTCAGATTTACAGATTTTAGGGCCCAGCTCAGATTTACAGATTTCAGGGCCCAGAGGAAGTATTAGTTATAAAAGTGGATCCCAGGGACTTAGATCAGTTAGGTAGGTGCCCCATGCCCTATTGCTTGAGTTCTGCCACCCCCCCACCCAGAAAGCCGTCTCTAACAGGGACAGTATTGGGGTCTTTTTTGTCGTATATACTGATATTACATTCTTTATCCAACTGTTACTGGGTGGGGCAGAATACATTTTGAAACCTTTGGATCACTTGAGTACTTGCCCTATAGTTTCTCTTCCACTTACAGCGTACGGACCGTACATCGGGCAGACCCCCTAAGCTGCTTTACTGGGTTGCTGTGAAGAAACCTAAATTAAGTTTCCATAGAAAGGAAACCCTACAGTATAATTTACCATATACCCGTATTCTGGTAACTTAATCAATCCTTAACAGCAACCCAGTTAGCGTCTCTTTCCAGAAGCTACGTTCTTAATCCTGCGTGAGCTTGAGTAAGCCGCATCGCCTTGAAAGCACATGGCGGATGAGACAGTAAAGCAAGGGGTCACAGCATTCTGCATTCTTTTTCTGACTGTTCTTGATATACTGATTACTACTGCTGTAACTCGTACCTTTTGTGGAACTATTTGCTGCTATGACCGTCCCTATCAACATTCTATCACTACTACTGTTACCTTTCAGCTTGATGGGTCAATCCGCACCGCTATATCATCTTTGCAGGCCAGGATGGCCATCAGAGAAATCTTGGCAAGCTCCTGCATCAAGCCCTATAACCCTTGGAATCCCAATAGCCCAGAGTAGATGTTTATTATAGACTTTAGGTCCCGCAGTTGGATCACTGATGCAGGTGCTGTCAGCCGCCTGAACTGTGGGGGCAGGAACAGCCAAACATCAGCCTTGAAATAGTGAATTACTTCACAAGAGCCGTCTAGCCGCCCCAACCCTCCATACCATGTCAGTTTTTCAAACCGAGCCTCAGTCCCCATAATCCCTTTCTGTCCGTTGGGGTCAGGGTGTAGGGTCTAGGGCTTGGGGTACACAGGGCCCCAACCCAATATATGAGTACTTCACTAAAATGCTGATTTCCTGGATTTGCTGTAGCAGTCTGAAGCCTTGCGGGGCCGTTCAGGGGGCGAGAAGCACTCGAAGTGTTGTCAAACATGGGCCTACGCAACGTGTGAAGGTGCCCTCAAAAATGTTGACTGCGGCCAATCCAGCTGAATGTCTGTATGTTTGGAGGCATACCAAAAAGTCCTGTGCGCTGGAGTTACGGTTCAGGGTTTAAGGTTTTAAGCCTGAAGCCCTGGACCCTTATCTAAAGTGCACAGGACTTCTGGGTTTAGGGAGGATATTGGAGGATGCTGATGATGAAGCAGCCTACGCACCCTGTGGCAGTCGTCAAGTCCTGCATGCCACGCAGAAGGGGGTTTGTCTAAATGAGGATCCCACTGCTTACTGTGCTCTACCTTGCAGGCATAGCCTGTTTCTGAGAGGCGCCCATGCTGGGAAGCCATACAACTAAACGCAGAACCCTAAACCATGAAGCCGAAATATAAACCCTCGATCTACCTTTAGCACCGAGTCCCTATACAGCTTAGCAGGATTTATCCTCTAATTAGTGCTTACGACCCATAGAACTGTAGATAACCGGGGTTACAGGTAAGCCCTACACCCTAAACCCTAGATTGGCCTCCACATCCTGATCATGGGCCTTCGTCCCCACACTGACCAAATCGTCCCTGGTCTTTCAGGTGGATTTCCCTAGGGCTCCAGTCATCTAGATAATGGGTTCTATATACCCTATAGTCACATAGCCCCGTAACCTACCATTTAGATGGCTGGGAGCCCTAGGATTTCCCAAATTGAGATACGTAGCCTTAGGGCCTCTGAGGATTGTTTTGGGGTGAATTGTAGTACAGGTCTTGGGTAAGTATATGATTCTTGGGCACTTGGACCGTTCGGGTGCTGGGTTCAAGATGTGGGTTTTTTTAGGTAAGGGTTCTTAGAGGTTCCTCTGTGAACTTGAACTACTTCCTCCTGGGCTAAGGTTTAGTTGGGCTTCACGTGAACAAGCCAAGAAGCATCATGTAAATGTGGACTTGGAACCACTGATTTGGGATGCTTATCACGGTATAGTTTATTTCTACACTAGGGGTGCCAAGCTTTGTCCCAATGACCTGGAGCAGTGCGAAAATCGCTTCATGGATCTCAGGGCCGGGTCCCACGTCAAAGCAGCAAGTTCGGAAATACAAGCACTACAGATACACATATTCCAACCATGCCAGACGGATGGCACACAACTAAAAAACCTTGCAAAAAAAAGTGAGGAAACGCTTTGGAGAAATAGCGCCTGCTAGCTGCGCGTGAATTGGGCAAGTGCAGGATGCAAGCTTTGCTAGATCGCTGATACACTACCGATGATGCTAGGCAAGGGCCCACACTGCAGTTCTGAGTGGGAAGCAATCACTATCAGCTCAGGACTCTGCTGTGCGATCTCGGACGCAGTGAGTTTCATGACCTGCGATGAAGACATGCGGGGAAGCCAAGAACCCACGTGGTTTAGACCGTTTGGGGCGTTCCCTGCTGATTGTCGGTAGGGAATGGAGGGAAAATGGAAACTACTCTGTTCTTGGAGATTCATTCTGGCAGCAGTGTATCAGGGCTACTTTCGGGAGCCCTTCCTCCATTCTCTACCTGTAAGTTTGGGGGCGTGGAGGGCTTCAAGCTGACATACCTGTTGGAGACTAGTCACTTATCTCTTCTGCTACATACGACCGACCAGCAACACGTTTTGAGCAAACGCTGATAAGGTAAAACTTACGGAGTCAGAGAACAGCCATTTCTTGAGGGTGGCGGTTCGCCTTATGCTCCAAAGCTCGCCAGAAAGTCCAAGAGCAGATCGATGATGAGCACAGGCAAATTTAGGATGGTTTCAATTCCCAATTTAAGGCCATCTTGGTACAATTCCCTATATAAACCACCATTCAGGG